TGTCAGATGTATTGTAAGTCTGTCAGATGTATTGTAAGTCTGTCAGCTGTATTGTAAGTCTGTCTGCTGTATTGTAAGGCTGTCAGATGTATTGTAAGTCTGTCAGATGTATTGTAAGTCTGTCAGCTGTATTGTAAGTCTGTCTGCTGTATTGTAAGGCTGTCAGATGTATTGTAAGTCTGTCAGATGTATTGTAAGTCTGTCAGCCGCATTGGCATTGTAAGTCTGTATTGTAAGTTCTTAGTAACATCAGACGGAAATCTCACTATGCTGAGAAAGTAGTGGAGAAGTTTGGGGAGGAGAAGGTGTTAGGGGCCTGGCTCCCGCGGGATGGGGCTCCACCCCGAATGCCTTGAGTGGTCCTTGTGTGGTTGCAAGACAGGTTTGGAAAAAGCTTTATAAGCTGGAACTTTACAAATGAATGGTCACCACGTTCCCCCAAACTTGAGCCCTCTCAGTTATAATCTTTTGTCCCTACCACGTGCTGAACAGAGCAGACCAGGTCACAATCTTTCTACTCTGTTGTGGCCACAACAGACTCAAACACCATATATGCTCACTAAATTAAAAGTGGGAGAGTACGTGATCTGCGAATGTGGACACGACCAAGAGGATGCCAACCATATCCTTCAGCACTGCCCGCGCTTCGCCACCCTTCGTACACAGACGTGGCAGAATGTGACTCCCCTTGAGAGAAAGCTCTATGGCAGTCCCTCAGAATTGAAGCGAACTGCACAGTTTGTGTGCAACATTGGACTGACTGTCTAGCTGCTGTCATCAAGAACAAAGAACAAGAACAAGAAGAATCTTTTGAGGTTTTTTTTACAAACAGAGTCAATGGAAAAAAGCCATATATGGTCGAACAGTTGAAACTCAATGTTGAACAGGAGTCCAAAGAATAAATTATTTTTAAAAAAACATAAGCCACATGGAATTTTGAATAGCTCCTTGGCATGTTTTTTTAAAATTTATTTAATTGGAAACTCTAAACTTGTTTAGAAAGATACTCAGCATGCAGAGGTTTAACCCTATCTGTACGTCCTAGGGTCATTTTGTACCCCCGGGGTTGTATTCTTCACATTTTAGAATACTTCTAGTTCGAAGATCTCTTTGAAACTTTCAGTATTTTTCAAAAAACCGTTTTGACCGACTGCTATGCAAAGCGTACTGATCGGATTAACGAGTAAAAAAAAATTTCCTCTTGAAAAGTTGTGGCACAGAGTTCCCCACTTCATATGGTACGATAGTAAAATACGGAGGGTTAACAGCCATTGCCTCCCTGCTGAGTATATTTGACAAGATCATTTCTGTATAAATTTGTTCTCCAATGCACATATAGTCATTTTTTCAAAAAGAACAGAATGGTTAATTATTTTAAGAAGTTGCAAAGTTTTGTGTTACACTCAATTTTGGTTGAAATTTTGAAAACTTGATATTTTTCCAACATGGTGGTTGATTTTCTTTCTTATTGGCAGATGTAACGTCATCTTGGTTGAATTTTATGTTTCCACAAGTTTTGTTGAAATTGGTCAAAAGATGTCTGAGTTATCGCCCTTTAAATGGGTCCTTTTTTAAAAAAATATCCGGTATTTGCCTTTTGTTTTTCTCAAATGTTTTTTTTTACATATTTGCCTTTAGATATTCTCAAAAGGTTTATATCACGTATTTGTCTTTAGATATTCTCAAAAGGTTTATATTACGTATTTGGCTTTAGATATTCTCAAAAGGTTTATATACGTATTTGGCTTTAGATATTCTCAAATGGTTTATATTCCGTATTTGTCTTTTGTCTTCCTTGAAGGACAAGCGGAACGAGAGAAAGGTGAGAGACCAGGATCTGTGGCTAAGCAATGACATGCTGCTCAATGCCTCTCTACAGGTGTGCATGCCGTGTCCCCCCCCCTCTCGCGCTCTCTCTTTGTGCCTGGCTTTGGCGTGTGTGTGTGTGTCAGTTTGTTTGTGTGTCGGTCACTGTGTGTGTCAATTTGTTTGTGTGTCGGTCACTATGTGTGTCAATTTGTTTGTGTGTCGGTTTGTTAGTGTGTCTGTCACAGTGTGTGTTGGGGATGTGAGAGCATTAACCCTTTAGTGGCTGACATAAGATTGTTTTCAACTTTTACTGCGCTAAATTTTCGCTAGTGAGGACGGTTAACAGTTTCAGTTATATTCTGCAGTCCCATTCAAAATCAAAGATTTAAGTGATTTGTCCATTTTCATAAACGCAGATTTCATATCTTTCTTTAGTTTTCTGGTAAAATTCCTTTCAAACCTATTGCAAAACAGTTATAATATTCCGTGTAGTGCAATTTGGACGTGCATAGTACAGGAAGACGCCCTCTTGGCTCACGATGTTGGACGTATGGTGTAGCGAAGGGGTTAAGTGTGCTAATCTTGTAATTATAGCAGCTGGTCCATCAATGTCAGACGATTACTAATACATCCAGGGTTCGTGCGGGTCTCGGAAAACTGGAAAACTCTGGGAATGTTGTGGTTTTTTTCCAAGACATGGAATACTTGGAATTTTGGGAAGTTGGCAAAATTCTTAGAAAAGTCTTTTAAAAACAAATTTTTAACTAGATCTAGATCTACTGTAAAAATAATTCCTTTAAGTTTAGAAGGCATCAAATTTACGCAGTCTGAAGTGTGCCTTATGTACTTTTGCATACTGAAAGACAACTTTTCTTCCGAATTGACATTTTATTTGTCTTGGAAAAAAGAAATCTGGTCTTGAAAACTCTTGGAAAAGTCTTGGGGAAAAAAATCTACTGCTTAGTATGAACCCTATACATCCGCAGAGGAGAATATTTTTCCAGCAAAATAGAAGAATTAGCAAAATGAAAGGTTACGATGACTTGTGGCTTCTGCTGTGGCCGATGAGACCAGTTGTGGTAGAGAAAAAGTTTGCCGTGTGTGTGTGTGTTGTGTGTGTTTCTTACCAATGATGCCTTCATGTGTATAGGGCTAGTAGCTAAGAACAAGAGAACAGAAAACGCTTACAGGAGACAAAGAATTATGGTGTAATTGCGAATAATCTGACAGACAACAGAATATGGATCACACAAAATAACTTGATAAATTATTTAATGTCGTGTAACCAAAAGAAAAAAAAACTTAGTTTGTTGTCTATTTTTTGGTTTTTTTTAATTGAGCATATAAAGTCAGTTAGAGAGATCTTTGCTGCAGGTGTTTTATGAAAAGGCCTAGCCTGGATTTAGCCTATTGAATCCAGAAAAATATGTATTGGGGATTTGGAAGGCGTTGTGGGGGT